AGGGGGGGGGGCGGGGAGGAGGGGAAGCAGTGGCCAGAGACCAGACCGCTCAACATGGCTTGTCAGTCAAAGGGGGGAGGAAAAAAACACAAACAAAAACACGAAACAGTATCCTTTTCAACAGTACAATCAATCTACAAACAAGTTTTTAGAATTATTTTACAACATATCCTGTAGAATCAATTCTTAATACAAAAGATGCCCATCTTGGGGGTATATATATTTTCAGTGGTTTACTGTTGACTTCTTTTAAATATATTAGTATTACTACATGCAACTGCTTCCTGTAATTTAACAGCCTTTCCTTTTATTTACCTTCATATATGTCTACCCTCCATCTACCACATAATTTGTCTGACCGTCAAAGATGGTTACCCTAGTTTCTGCTAAATTAAACACAACGGTTTTAAACACTGGCCTGAAGAGGTTTGATTGCCATTTCAACACATGGATATAGTTACATTGATGCCTAAATTGCCATTTTCTGCAAAGAGCTGTGCAATGCTGGTGTCAAAGACTAGACAGTCACTATTCATAATGGCTGTTGCAATTCCCTCATGAATAGATCGAGGAGTTGCTTCCCAAGTCAATCGCCGCCTATGACCATTTAACTCAAGTCGATAAGCAAAGTTTTCTGCTTGCTTGCGTGTTCCTATCAGCTGTACAATTGCAAAGAACTGCTGGTGACCATCATATTTTTCCTGTTTCTCCAATACTAACATGAAATGAAAGCCAAAACAAGACTGCATCATAACCCAGTCAACAGCACCAGGAAGATTAATGTCTGTAGCCAGGAACACTATATCTTCTCCCTGAAGTGTTGTAATTGACTTATGTTGATGCATCAGATGTGGCATTACAGCATCCAGAGAACCTTGCCATTTACATGAAGCACCAGGACATGGACAGGAGTAAGGCCTAAACTCACACAGCTCCTCATGGTCTGCTTTTTCTGTGTGTGGCAAAGTTATCTCACATCCGGAAGAGGCATATTTACAGGGGAATAGTACAGAATTGGCAACTTTCTCCATAGCCAGGTTACGAATGGAGCCCAGCGGGCCTCGGCAAGTTGGACAGCACGTAAGTTTGGGGCGACAGTTGCTACAAACAAGATGGCCACTCTGACACTGAAGAATTGGTGGCAGCACATAGTCAAAACACACAGGACACTCAAAGAGACTAGCCAAGTCATTATTGGAAGCTGTAGTGCCAGTCAGTGCAGGCACCCTCTGGGATGGCGTACACTTTGAAGTACCTGTAGGTAGTGCTGTAGCAGTCTGACGGCTCATTTCTGTAACAGAAGAGAGAAAAAAGAATGAGTGTCTAACCATATTTTATTTTCCTCTGCCTGCACTAATTTTTGATTTACAAAGAAGCTTTGAAAGAAATTAAGACACAAACGAAAGCAAAAGAAACATGTAATGCAAACTGTGCATAGATTACTTAAGAGTATCCAGACATTCATATGACATACACATTTAACAAGGGAAGAAGTTCCGCTAATTATTCTGAAGTGGAATTTACCTATTGGAAGGAATATTACCTATTTACCTATCTATGAAATATCCCACCCTGATCACTTATGTGTAACAGCTAGGAGCACTAGATGAGTAACTAGCCATTTTTAATGAAAAAATGTACTTCCCGATATGACCTTTTCAGTAATCATGTTTACTGTATAATTTAAAAAAAAAATTTGAAACACAGTATCAAGGAAGATTACTACACCACTTTTTTCCCAGGACTCTTCATTCTCATGACTCTGTTACTAAGGCCCATAGCTTGTAAAGCACATTATTGCCTCAGCTTCCTGAATTAAACCATTTGCAAAGACACCAGAAAAACAATTATTTTTATTGAATTTCCCAAATAAGAAATTCAGAAGGTTAAGTTGGAGAATTAATTTTAACAAGTAAGTATTCAAACATTTCCCATAACATGAAAAGGCACTGTTGATGAAGTCTTAAGTTCAGTGGAGCTTACACTGAGGTTCTATCCTTTCAAATGTCCCCAGACAAAAGTTAACATTTGTCTGTCCAACCAGCTTGCTCAAGCATTCAAGCATACCATATTTCTTAACATTTTATGGATGCTACACTTTTTCCTGCACCTCCTTCTTGTGCAAAAGGAAATCATTACCACTACCAGGAAAAAAATAAACACTCCATTTTGAAAAAAATACACCTTACCATTATAGGTTAAGTAAAATGCTATCAAAAATTGGCTTCCATTACACAGTAAAATTCTCAATCACCTTAAGTGCTTCTCTGCAAGTACACCAGCTCTGTATCTGTCACGTATGTACAAAGCTCTCAAAATAAACCTCCTTGCTGGGAATATTAGGCAATAGGCAAACTTCCCGTATTTAGCATCATTTCACCCACCAACTTACTCATACTTGGACTAGATACCTCAGAGCAGCATCCTGTTCAGGGCATGAAGCAAAGCAACTAAGAGATTCCAACATGCAAAAGAACTTATGCCTTGACATTCAAAAAAGTAATCACAGACAGGCAATCTCAAGTTCTTCTACAGAAGCAGCTCTCCAGTCTAGAGCTAGAAAAAACATGAATGTCTAAGATTCAGTATTCAGCCACTGATTTTATGAGTCTCACATGCCCAATAACAGCATCATCTCAGCCCTCCAAAGTCTCCTCCTTCATCTCAGGCTTGCCCGACTAGAAACATCCAGTCCCCATCTTCAGAAAAAAAAACCATACAGTGGTTTTCAATGCTGGGCCTTAACTGATACTGTAGAGATAACAGGGATGTTTGTATCTTTTGGCCTTATTTTCCTACTGTAAAGCATTCCAGCTTAGATGAAAAGTTTAAGGTCTCAGCAACAAATCAAGTACGTGTTCTGGGGAAGTGATGCTATGCCAGCTTGTTGCAAGGGGATTCAAATGATAAGGCCTGTGACAACTGAGCACTGCTGCTATTCTTCCCCAACACCCACAGGTGGGAGGCTCATGACAGCACACTGCACTTCTACGCTCTAGAACAAATTATACACAGAGAATGATTGTACACAGGAGAACAAATTCTGATCATGCTGTTCGCTTGAAAAGAGATTTAAGTCACATGCATATTCATGTGTAAAATTCTGAAAGTGTTTCCCTTCAAATACTGTAAACACACACATTTCAGAACTGCCTGTGTGTGCTTCATCTTACCTGAACCTGTATGTCCTGATCAAGGGATGCCCAGTAACCCGCAGATAACACTGGTGAAAACCACTGTGTTAAACCAGTTCCCTAGGCAGTCTGACAAGCTGGGTGAGCTCTGGTTTCTTTAATTACGCCTCTCAGAGCCCATTCAACAGGTAAATTAAGCAACCTACAAACTCTGCAAAAGACCTTACGCGTAGATGTACTTTCCACTTAGCTTTCTAAGATACAAGAATGTCCAGCCCTGCTCTATCACCGTTTCTGTAGGTGGCCAGCCTTCACACACACCTTCCACAACTGAGGACCATCCAAATGAGCAGGAATCTGTGGACCAGGCCATGGATATTAGCATGCAAGGAAGAAACCGGGTAAAGCTGTAAACTGTAATTTACCAAGCCTAAACCTGCCCAAAGCCTACATTTTCATCACTCTTGTTAACACAAAGATGAATAATGCATCACGATGGGAAAGTCAGAGAAATTATTTTTCTACAGCTAAGTTAAAAACTACAAGTTAGCTGTAAGTAAGTGTTAACAGCATAATACATTTAACCCACCAAACTATCAAAACCATACAATTACAGACCAAGTAAACACAAGTACAGAAATGGAAATAAAGCTTAAAGGTATTTTTAGTTACAAAAACTTTATTACAGGTAAACCCCCCCCCATATGCAGTATTTGTTATTACGTTATCTTTGTTTGCACGCACTAGGAAAAAGCCCCTAAGCAACAGTGACAAAGTAAGGTACACTGGGTGTCATTTTAGAAAGTATTAGCTACTGCAACACGAATTATGCAAAAGATTGCACAAACTTGAAAAAGTTTAACCCACAGAAAAGAGGTAAAAGGAAAACACGTATTTCAAGGTTTCCCAGTTCTGGATGAAGAAAAACGCTGTCCTCGAGGTCACCAGAACGCACCGACCTGTTGACGCAGCTATTCTCACCACCCTTCTGGGGAGGGGCGAGGCACAGACGCTACCGAGACCTCCCGAGGGACACGATTTCGCAGCGGCCACAAAAGCCGCCGAGGACGCTGCGCGTAAGGCGATGGCGGCGCCGCTACCTTTGCCGCGGCTGCTCCCGCTGCCCGGCAGGCAGGCCCGCAGGGCTCCCGTCCACGCCCGCGGGCACCCGGGGGCCT